TAGACTAAGACAAGGATTAGAAAATCAATATTATGATGCTTTCTTATTGTATGCTGCTGAAGATGTTAATTGGGCCACTGAAATGTTGGAAAAATTGGAAAATAAATATAACTTGAAGGTAAAGAGATAAAACTAATATTGTGTATGAAAAAATAATAAAATATAAATAAAATGTCTTTCAGCTTTGTGTAAAAGATCGTGATTTAATTGCTGGAGTTACATTCGAACATGAAGCCATAATGACTTTGATATCAGAACGCTGTAATAGACTAATTGTTCTAATATCAAACAATTTTTTAAAAAGCCCAGCAAACAAATTCTTTTTGAGCTATGCTCAAGCATTAGGCATTGGTAAGCTTTGATATCAATTCATTAAATGATGTAGATTGTATGATTTGAATCTCATATTATACTATTTATTCTAATCAGATAAACGACAAAGGAAAGTTATACCATGTTTGTATGAAAAATGCAAATTGCCACCACAGCTACAATATATGTTTGTATTAGATTATAACAGAGTGGGTTTGTATGACTTCTGGGGAAAATTAAGGGACTCTGTACAGGTTGTAAATAAAGTAGAAGAAAATACCAGTATTGTCCCTGTGAAAGATTTCAGCAACTTTGATGCGACTAATGAAAATGAAAAAGATAAAGAAAGTACAAAAGAATCTTTTGAAGTACAAAAACCTCGTTTACAAAATAATAAAGAAATGCTTAATATAAAAGAGAATGCAAACATTCCTGAATTTGACAGTGTTCATAAGTTGAAAGATAATGATAATTCGAAAGATAATTTTTTACAATGGACAAAAAAGAATTTTTTACAGTGGTCCAAAAAAGAAAATAATAGAAAGGAGTATGTACCAATCTCAGAGACTGTTAGTTTACCATCTATCAGGAATCTGGATACATTGAGCACATCAACAGAGTCAATAGAAAAAAAGAATAAAACAAAGTTTATAAATAAATATGTAAAAAGGGTACAGTTAAAAAAGATACTTGTCAAATCATAAAAGAGTATATTTTATTAATGTATTTCTGTTTAATATGTGAAAAACAAAATATATGTAGTTATATTGTATTTAATAATAATGAAGTATATTCTTGTTAAGTCTTTAATAAAATATTTTTTATGTAAAATTGAATATTTTCATTCGCCAATATATCGATTTATCTTAACGTATATTTATGTATGTATGTATGTATAGATATAGATACTATACTATCAGAGTACCTGTTGCATATCCACGTGCTTGAAAATAGCTATCTTTTGCCTGCATGTGTAACTCCGTATCTAAGTAGGTAAGTTGCTGTGTTCATGTTATTAACACATAAATTAGTCACATAAAAATATGCATACATTGTTTTAGTCGAGTCTTTGTTCTATGGTAATCGTGAGAGAAAGTTAGAAATAGATTGGATTGGTTTACTACTATTGGTTTACTACTACAGTAGTCATCTAACCATAAATGTCCACTGTCTCAAGTAGTAGAATTCCCGCCAAGCTTTTCACATTTTGGCGCCATTAAGTGAAGTTGTTTTTAATTGTGCTTTTATGTTTTTTTATGACTTAACTTTTCATTTAAGTAAAGTGCAAACAGTCTAATATAGTAAAAAGTATTTAAAACATACGTACATCATAATTTAAGTAAAGTCAAATATTAAAAATGGTACGCCGAAAAGCTGATGCAAGGTTAGTCACAGATATATTGTGTAATTAATATTAGAAACTTCATACAGTGAAATATATTAGATAATGACGATTTTTAATGAAACCTGGATATCTGAAACCCGTTTATGATAGTCTTTATGGATTTAATTGTCGAAAAAATTATTGTAAAAAAGTCTCTAAACCGTTTCATTTGAACCTGTCATTTTCAAATGCGTCAGATTCATGTGATGTATACATTACTATAAGCAATATTTTTATGTGAAATATTAACACTTTATGTTAAAATTATATTATTATAAAATTTAGTGTTATTGTTTTAGATCAATTGACAGTTCGCGAACAGCACACAGTGATAAATCTAGGGTAAGAATATTTTGAGAAAAACAGTTTCTAATCACACCATGGCTTTATAAATTTAATGTTATTTAAAAATCTTTCTAAATAAATAAATAAGTATAGAACGTTATTATTAATTATTACATACTTTTCTTAGACTGACGTTTTAGTGGACAGACGCAAAATTCAAAAGGCACACATTTTGAAAGAAATTCGATATTTTAGAAAAAGTGTAGAATTGCTTATACCAAAACTACCTTTTGCTCGTATAGTTAAAGAAATTATGACAGATTTATTTCCTAGAAGTGATGTAAGAAGGTAAAGTTTATTTATTAATAATATAATATAATATAATATAATATATATATATATATATATATATATATATTTAAAATAATATATAAATATTTGAATTTTTAAAGTAAATCAAAGATCTCATACTATAAATTTTATAATTTGTACATAGAGTACAACCATTGGCACTTGAAGCACTGCAAGAAGCTGCTGAAGCATATCTAGTTCAATTCTTTGAAGATTGTGTATTATTGTCACAGCATGGAAAGCGTGTGACTCTTCAAATTCAAGATATGATTTTAATGAGACGACTCAGAGGAAGAGATGATATTATAAATAAATGAAGTGATTTCGCTATTAGGCTTGATAATTTTATTGTATATTTATAATATATTTTGTATATTTGTATATTTAATATTACCTGATATAAACATTTTAAATATTCTACTAATTTTATTAAGGATACGAATTGTTTCATGCTATGAAGGCTACACCATTGTTTTTACCTTTTATGAAATGTTTTATTGTATGTTTAATAATTTGCATATATATCATTTGATAATACTAATTAATAAAAAAAGGAAAGATAATATTGACTGTTATATATTACGATTATGTATTAAAATTGGAATATTCTTGACAAATTCACTGTGTTCTTATCTGGCATAGTATTTAGTATAATGTACATGACACTAAGAATTGTGGAGTGTTTGATAACAAATTAAACTTGTAATGATTTGTTCAATAAAATTTATTTTATGGGAAACAAACTTTTGATAAAATTCTTACGTTTACTTTACGAAACTTTGGTAAAATATACATTTCTTGATTCTTCGGCAGGATCTTAGAATAGTACATATCGAAGCTTCGTAAGGTTCACTTCGTACGGATTTTGTTCGAATTTTCTTCATATGTAACGTAACATCAGTTAAATGTGATACAGTAAAAACGATTATTAAACAATAAAATATAGCGTAACCGGTTGTTACGATAAAATTTCTTTTATTATTTCGTACGGGTTAGCTGCCATCACTCGCAACATCTGTCACAAATGGAACATTATATTACGATATCCTAAAAAAACCGACTAAAAAATAGTATTACAAATAACAATGCTACCTACCTACGCGTCTATAACATATATGTATATCTATAATACAATTTGATAAGGAAATATAAAAGTCACCTGGAAATAAACAGGCTACTCTTTTGTGTTTCTGTATATCTGAGAAAAATCTCGCATCTCGTAATTCTGAATTTCTAAAAAGACACTTTGTAATAGGCACAACATTAATTACATGTTTATGTTGCCTGTCATTGTTCAGAAGCGAAGCTACGACAACTCGCAACTTTACCATGGCGATGCTTTATGACCATTTCTTTATTCGCTATACATTTTTTAAGTATCGTGTACACTCATGGCTAGTAATAATCTGACTTTCGAAAGATTTTACATAATTTTGTTCTTCTTTTCTTTCTTTTTCTCGATCATCTTAAATATGTACATTCATTACACGATACATTATTGTGTGATAGGGAAAGGAAATACTGTTTATCGAGGCGAGTCTGTACATCTCGAAAACAACTTCTAATATAGAATAGGAAAACAGTTTGAAAGACGAGCGAATATATACGATATTTGGTTGCGAAACATCGCGTAGCTGGAATCGCCAAGCTCGATCAACAATACGTTTATATACTACAATTAATCATCGTAAAATTAAATAACAAGTCTTTGTATCGTCGTAATCTGACAAAAGTCATTTCCTCATAAAAGATCGCACTTTGTTCACGCATTTATCCATAAAGTTCTTTTTTCGTTTCGGCTCGGCTCCTGTTGGAAGCGAGAGCAACGAGCCCTGTTCCCGTGATTTAGACTTGTATTCGTTTGACGAAATGCTTCCGTCAGAGTCTAGCCCCGCACCACAGCTTTTCGCTTTGAGCAGTGTCGATTTATCGCTTCCCGTTACGACCAATCGTTCCTTCAATTCTGTGTTACTATCACAAGGATCAACGTTCTCTGAACTAGCCTGGGAGTCCTTTTCGTCTTCCATGCTCGAAGTCACAGACGACAACGCTGTATCTACACTCACGAATCGATTCGGTTTCGGTGGTCGTGTTGGTAAATTTTGTTCCCCTTTGTCGTTGTTCTCCTCGAAATTTGACGATTTTTGCAACTCTTTTTGCTCTACAATATTAACCGATTCCGATTTTATTTCTGCAGCTGTTTTTAATCGCTGTCTAGGAATTGGTATTGGACTTTGATTTCCATTCAACTTTGTTTTCCGATCATTAGACTTGTGAGAATGAAGATTAACAGTTGACCCTCTATCTATATTGTTTTGTGCCCCTTCTGGTACAATTTGAAAAAGATTGTTTTCTACTTTAGTATCAGAAAGTCTGTCTAAAACTTCCAGGGATATTCTGGAGTCAATTTCGTTCTCGTTGCCTGGCTTCGATGATTCTGCAGTCTTCTTTTCTGGCACTATATCTTCATCTAACAAACCATCCAAGCTTCTGGACCTTGGTCTCGCCTGTGCTTCTGGCTCTCTAACAGGAGAAACTGATTTCTTCTCATCTTGATCTAACAGTTCCAACGAACGAGATCTGGTGGACGGAGAAGGGGGATGTCGTGGAGGTCTTCGTGGTACTGGACTTCCTCCAGGCTGCGTATGGGTGAACTTCAATCGCGGAGACGTAGGCGGTAAACCCATTAACCAACGGGACGGACTTGACGATTTTCTAAGCCTGCAATGAGAGTAGAAATAGTAGTGGATTCTAATTGTGTGGACTAGTAAATAAGCACAATTATTTTGATACAGTCACAAGTACAACAATCATGCAGCTCTATAGTTTTATTATTTTAAGGCACAAGATTGACATATATGAAATATTGCTTCGTTCTTCGATTATACACATATCATTGGTTCATCTTACAATGGTTTCTTTAATTATTATTATATATTTAAATATGATATGAATACAAATTTTGTTGTTGTAAAGGAATCATTCTAAGATAAAACACATTGAAATATCTAGCACACTTCATGGCTATATAAATAATAAAAATTAAAATACACAATAATAATAGAAAAAAAGCAGACTATGTGAAGAATAAGCTGATAAGACATCAATTACAACATAAATGTAAGATTAAATTTCCTCGACTGACCTAGACGTGATTGATTGTCTTTAGCGTGATTGTTAATCCTGGCTGCATAGAAATAAAAGAATTGTGTTAGAATTAATGCACTCCAAAATTTAGTAAGAGTTTAATCCTCTAGATGAATATTATTTTTGTGAAAAGGATAGATACCTGCTCGGTATGGCTGTGGGCGGGCCCTCTAGTCAATCTCGCCCTCCTGTCGAGTCTTTGTCACTGCCCCTGCTTTCATTACTGTGCATACGTTGATAGTTCGGTGGCTGTCTTATAGTTGTGTTACCCGGTGTGTTTGGTTGCGTCACGTCCTTGGGCGCGATGCTTCTTGGGATATCTGATCTGACTGGTATTTCGCCTCGCATAAACCTGGCAACCAAATTTTTATTTTTGAGAAAATCTTCAGTATATATTCAGATCCGAGATTGCAGAAACTTCAATAAAAAAGAAGAAAAAGAGCAAATTATGTACAGTAAAGAAAGTTTGATATTTCTAAAATATAATGATTTATTATTTCAAACATAAAGAGCTCAATTTTGTAAGCATCAGAAAGTTGAGTGTCTTTTTTTAACTTTTATGTGTTAATAAATGTTTATGATTACCTTTCTAGTTTGTCTACGCAGGCATCTTGGTAATCATGGATCCATCGTACACCATTGAAATGACAAACTGCTCGCATATCTTCAGGGAGTTCTTCAGGCTCTGGCCACTGGAAGTTGTCTATGATAGGAATTATATTACATTGTGATTGTAGAGCTGCTACAATCTCCTGTAAACACCATTAATGTAATATAAGCCACTTTTCTAATAATATCAGCAAGTATACCATTTCACAAAAACAAATTGAATCAATAACTTACCCTATGAACCCAGTCTTTGCATTCACTGTCCTGTATACACCTTTCCAAAGCCTTGGGCGTCAGCACAAGGAGGAAGTGTTTTGCCTGCCTGATGCTTTGCAGCAGGTTATTGTCGAATTTGCCGGCTTCTAACCTTTCAACATCAATGAACACAGAGAAGCCTCTCAGTTGCAAGTGGACTTTCAATAAACTGGCTAACTGGGATCCATTTGATCTTCTATAACTAACAAACACGTCCAAGGATTTATCTGGTGATTCATCCTCCGAAGAACCCAACTGATTGTGCTGCATATTCTTAATAGCATCTAATATCCTCAACCTATGGATGCTATTCGCGATGCCACACTCTGTCAGTAACTGATCTTCAGACAAATTCCTGATGGAGTCTTTGTCAACGCCAGCATTAAGCATACTGTATGTGTAGATTGAGAACTCCTGACCAATTGATTGCAAGAAACTATTTAAATTTCCCGTGTCTCTACTGCTATAATCAGCCATCTTCTTTAAATTCTGCAATTCTCTGGTAAACCTTCTCCTCCTGATACCATTTGTTAAACCAATATCTTCTTTGAGATTCTCTTCTGTCAGCTGTAACAATAAATCACCATCCACTCTACTTTCCACAAAGTTCTGTGCACATTCCGCGAATCCAATCTGTTTCACCCACTCTCTGACATCTTCTGTAGACCAGAGAGGTACCTGTTGGCTGAGTTTATGAGGAATCTCCTCCCCAATTAAACGTAATGCCTGCGCCGCGTACTTGGAAGCAATTGCATTAGGACAACTAGCTACTTTCTTTAACGGTTCAATGGCTCCTATCGCACGGAAGATCTCCGTGTTGCCCTGCTGTTTCTTGATGCCAGCCTCCATACAGAAATGGAAAGCTGCCAGATTCCTAGCTTCCTCTCTTTTTGAGCTTAGTACCGGTACCAGCCTCTCAAGCCAATTTTTACTCTGACCATGTGCATGTGCTAGATTCGACTTGGCGAATTCATAGGGATTATGTGAGGTTACAAATGGTTCAACTAGATCCAGTGTACCAGACTTTAACACTGCAGCTTCTATTTCCTTATTGGCTACTAATACAGCAATTGCCAGACAAGCATAGTACTTAATGTTGTCGTCATTGTGGAAAGCTAGTGGAAACAGCCACATAGGCACTTTTCTCTTGATCATGGCTTCCTGATTTTCTGCACCACCATATAGAGACAGATTGGCGAGAGCACCAGCACAGTGTCTCAACGTTTCAATGTCGTTCTTTCTACATTCGAATAGAACAGCATCTAGACCACCTAGCCTGATCACATCGCTGCAGGTCCCTTCGCTATGTTTAAACAGGTGTTCCAAGATTCCAGTGCCTACTCTCGAATGATCCACCGAATTAGCATTTTTTGTGCATACACAGGCAACGTTCACAACCTTCTCTAAACCGTGTTCCACTACGTGTGCCCTGTTCTCTGTGGTCAGACACTGTTCTAATAATCTGGCCGAAGAAAACTGTAGTTCATTATCGCTGGCTATACAGTTGGACATTAATAAATCAAGACCACCTCTCGTTCTAAGGGTGTTACATAGGGTGTAACCTAATTCGTGACCATGAGTAGGTACTGCCCACGCTTTTCTAATGATTTCGTTCACTCTGTCTAATAACAACGGTGCCTTGCCACTTTTACAATCGTTGGCTTTTAGACGTTCCACGAAATTGTCTAGGAAATTAGAGTATTTGGCGATGGCTCGATCGACGTCCTGGGGATTCGATTTTGAGCATAGAAGGTCTAGATCGTCCAGAGGTAGAGAAAGAAGTTCGTCTTCAGCCGGCCTCATGCCGTTCATCAATTGATTCACTGCACTCGCTGCGCTGATCATTGAAGATTTTGAGGTGACTCCTTTCGCGATTGTGATACTTGACTGCGAACTTGCTGCAGAAATGTGTTTCTCGTGGTTGAAGATCCCGGTTGAAGTGACCGTTTGTCTTTGTTGTTGTGCTGCCATAGCTTTCTGAAATAGAAAAAGATAATCCCTCTTAGAATTGTTAAAGTTATTAAAGAAGTTGCAAAATTGCAACGAAGCTGTGAATACAATTTTTCTCTATTTTCCTCGTAATTCGTAAATAATAATGACGAATGTAAACCTTTTATCAAAATGATTGTAAATATCTTTTTTCGTCATTTTTCTTATAACTTGTGGAAATTTTGAATATAAAAAGAATATAACTCGTCTTCCTTCTTTTTAAACCCTAAAGGGTAAAACAAACTCTTTAAATACGACTGAAAGAAATGAAAAATTTTCCGAAAGTTTTAATATAAATGAATCCTTCTTGGTCGTACGAATCATCAAACGCAAAGGACATCGTCAATCTTTAGAATAAGCGTTTTAGGTTGGCGTTGAACACGCCGTAACTTGGCGTCACAGAGAATTATCACTACTGTGCCACGTCCGCTCCCCGTATCTTTATTATTTCTGTATCGCTACGTAACGCATCAAGCACGACGGAACATCTCAAACTTTTCCATTACTCTTCCTTTTCCATTATCGCTGATTAAACGCTAATCTACATCATCTTCGACTTAAGTCTATTGTTTAGAATCCACACCAAATATCACGCTCTCTTTCTCTCATAATTATCAAATATTGGTTTAAAGTGTTCTGTATCACGTGGTTTATTCAATAATTAGAAGAGTTCACAGCGAAGCTTCTGGATTAGATAAAGAAAAGATACTACTCTCTGATATATATATTTTCACTTTAATTAGATACTATCAGACATATTTGCTAGATTTTTCTAGCAGATATTCTACACGTTTCTACTTGTTTTCAATTGATTTAAGCTCGGCGCTACTTATTTTAATCTATTTATCTCACGATTTTCGATCAAATCTTTCACCGAAAAAATTAACAAAACAACAAAACATGACGACGATAAAAGTCTATTTCTCTTTAAGAAACTTTTCTTTAAAAGAATTCTCCAAATCTACGAAAAGGATCTCCAAAGTTTCAGAACAAAATCCTGTAATGAAGGCTTCAAGAGCTAGTGGACAATTTGAATCATGTTCTTTTGCCTCGGAGTTTTTAGGACATATATAACGTAATAATAAATAAACTTTAGCCAAAACAATGTCGCTGCTACGCGCAATCGTCAAAAAAAGAAAAAAAACGAATTTAATTTTCCGGTACTCTGCCGACCAGTATAAATAAACGAACGCGGTCTTAGAGAACATTCTCTGCATTTATAATTATTTTAAAATATATTTGACGGTTTAACATCAAGTTATCTCGTCATTTAAACCACACGACCAACTATCCTCTACAAGCGTATCGAGTCAAACCAATAACGAAACACGAAGAAGATTCGAAGAAAGAATTATGAGAAAACTGAGAACAACGGCTACCAATTTCGAGTCGAGGCTATACTTCCGCAGCATAGCAGCGGATTCCATCGTCTTCCGGGACACGGTGTCGAGCTACCGGTCGGGAAATCGAGAAACACTGAAAGTCGGCGCAAGCTGATCACTGTTTAAATTTGCAGATCCCACTTTTCACGACGGAGATGATGGCATATAAATTTACGAAGAGCGTCAGGACGCGCCTCTAGTCTGCACGTGTGCCAAATAGCATAACGGAGGATGAATATATTGGCCGTTGAACGGTACAGGACTCGTGCTTTTCGAATGTTTGCTTGGTGGCTGGCCAAACACGAACGATTCTACTTGATGGTGACCATCGAATGTTTCCACGTTTCTTGGTATCGTGGCTTTTCGACGAAAACTGTGACATATTTATTACGTGCGATTCTTTTTTAACGTTTATATAGTGCGAAATATCGAGTTCTTGGAACGAACGAATTTTTGTGAGTAACGTTCATTTTTTCTTTCTTTCTTTCTGTTTCTCTTTTAGATATTCTCTGTATCGCCTAGCACGACTGGACGTTAATATCAATGTTTACGTTTTGAAACAGGAACACGATTACCTACAACATTGATCGATGCTCTTCGTATTATTTTAATTCTAATTAATTATATATACATAACGTACTTAGGAACGTATTAATCGAATTATTTAGTTATTTGGTCGTTGATAATATCTGTGAATGATCTTTCGTTTTATTCCAATTTTCGAACTTTGTACGCCAAGATATGATTGTTAAAGAGTGTTGCTGTTATTTTCTGTTTCTCTTTCTCTTACTTTCTCCGAACTGAATGAATCGCTCTGTAGCTTCATCGTGGATGCAGCCATGTTATTGCTTTCCTGGTGCGACAGGTCGCCAGCTTTTAAGCTTCTCTGTTCCTGCAACAAACAGAAGCATGGGTTTTTATTAATACTTTTACGAGCTCTAGACTCGCGAGCCGCATAAAATCATCTTTCAACGACCTACGTGAAGATAACGTTTCGAAACTATTTTAACTACCTACGTGAAGATAACGTTTCGAAACTATTTCAAAGACGATACAAACGCTTAAAAATATCCCTAACATTTTTCAATTTACTGCAAGATTGTTTCGAAGAGGGAAAGGAACGTGGAGAGATACTTTGAGAAAGCGTAGCCTTGAAATATTTCATCGAGTAAACAACTAAATAAAAATACACCACAGATCCTTTGCAAACTATATTATTGTCATACTTATACATCACAGAGATATAAACCCTTACAACGAAGAACAAAACTTGATGCTAGCAAGGAGAATAAAACCAATTCGTAATTTAGCAATTGGATTAAATTCGAGCGAAAATAGCAAGTTCCACGTAAGAGAGTGCATATTCGCAGAAAATCGTTGCTTAAAAATGCTTCTAGGAAATCCAACTGAAGCTTCATTCGTTCGTGTTGCCAAATCACTTCGAATCGAGAGGGAACCTCCAAACATCGCGAGATCTCAGTATACAAAAACAAAAGCGTCAAAGTCGTCAGTGAGTGAAATTCCAAAAACATTCCGAGAATATTTCGCGTAAAGTTGCGAAACAGTATCGATGGAACTTCAAAGAACTGGAGAATAAACTTTCGAGTAAACGTGTCGATGATAGGGCGTCGTTTCAACGGACTGCAGACACGAATATTTAATATCGAGACGCGTGTTGTAAGGAATTAGCGTGACATCGAAGACCCACTTACTGCGAGTTGGCTAATAACGACGCTAATTCGCGGATGAGATCCGATAACATCGGAACGCGAGCCACAATTGCGCCACTGTGACTTGCAAGTAGCAGCAGATTTCCATCGTTTTATCGTGACGGAGAGAGTACTCCTATTAATCGAGACGCTTCTGAGCTCTTGTCGAGCCTACTGGACGAGACTTCTTTCGCGCAATTATCGTTGCGAAAACGTCTCGTTGAGACTGAGACTACACGATCTGATTCTTAGTGGCGCATAGTGAGACGATAACGCAGATAAAAATGTCAATCGTGGTCTTTTTATATCTATAAATAGATTTTTCATGCATGAGAATTATGCAGATATCGATATTAATAAAATAACAATTATGCAAATTGCGCAAAGTACTTTTGATAAATTCAATGGCGCGGAAATTCATAGAATGCATACCTGTAATAGGCATATTAAAATATATAAAATTTTCGAAAGTGGAGGGAGTACTGGTTCTCTTTATAAAAGTATAAGATTGCATAAAAATCTGTAATATATTTTTGAGCGTTAATGTTTATGCAGATTCATATTTTCATGAATATCATTGGCGAAGTAGAAGGTAGATAGAGACTCGTTTCATCCCTTGGTAGATGCTATAACAGGCATTTTGCGTATTTTTGTATATTTAAATCGTTTTTAATTAGGACTTAGATCGATATTATTCTTGAGTATCGTCGAATGAGAAATCAGAGATGAAAAATTTGTTGAGCTCGTTGCAAGCTTTTCGATTCTTTTTTTTTTTTTTGCTTCAACCACAATTTCAGAAGATAAGTAGAATATTATCGTGTGAATAAATATTTTTCAATGAATGAAATTCTTTCATGAATAATTAATCAGAATGTCCAACAGTCGTACATGTGTGTATTATATTTTTGAGAAAAATAAAACAGATGTTTCTTTCTTCTAGTCTTCATAAATTATTTATGAAGAGATTACTATTTTAACAATGTTATTTTGGGAACGAACCTTAAAAAAAAATATAATGTTTCTCGTTCCACTGTCTGGCAATCCGAAGAGTTTCGTGTTTCTAATTAAGCGTTTGTTCTTTAGGATATTCAATTTATATTACGTTTCTTCTATACGAAAGTGTGCAAGAACGATTGGACACCTTTCGGATCAAACGTTGGTAATCGTCGACATGTAAAACGTTCTGCAAATATTGCCCCTTGATCTCAATGTCACTTGCTATCTTTCGTCTAGATTATCAATCATACTTTCATCGAGGAAAATCAATACGCAGCTTCGTCGGATAACATATCAATTGCAATAAAATGGAGAAAGTTTCCAATAAATACAACGATTAACGCGAACCGTCCAATTCCTTAAATTTCCATCGTCGTTGCGAAATATAACACGAAATGAAGAAATGTCCTTCGATTTAACACCAATAAAAAAAAGAAAAAACACTCAGCAACCGATCACAAAAAACTGAGAAAAATTCCGAACACCGGTAAATACAACGATTGACGTAAATTTTCAGCCTGCGTCAGCATCGGCAGACATAAAACAAAATAGAAAAATTCTTCAACTTAACAACACCAATCTGCCAAGACGCACTGAACAATTATTATTCACTAAAAGAAAAAATTGGAAAAAATTCGAGTACCAATAAATATGGAATTGAAACGATGGTCAAGCGTCGAAGAAACGCTGTCCAACGAGCATCGAGGCGGAAAACCTCGAGGACGAGCTTCCGCGACACAGTTCCATAACAGTCTGGTCCGTCGAAAGCTCATCGGCCGCGGCTCGACCACTCCGCGCGCGCTCCGGCTTCTGACGTATTTCTCTAAATATAATCCGAGCGTATCGTCACGAGGCTGGCCAGCGTCGTTCTCCGTGTTTCGCTCGTCCCTGCCACCTTACGCGCGAACACGAGTCCCCACGTGCCACCATCGTCTTATCGTTTGTTTCTTGGACTTTAAAGTGCGATTTCACCGAGAAATCGCGAGTAATTAATAATTAGTTCTATTTGAAAGATTTCCTTCAAGTGGAATTGTAATTTCCGATGGTTTTGGATCAGCGTTAAGCGACGCGATTCAAGGGTTGAACAACGGATATTTAATGAATTTTTGGTAAATACGACGTATTACGATGAGAGAGCAAATGGAGGAGAAATTTTGACGATTCGTAATTGTATCATACGATATTATACGATCGTTTCGATTCTTGCGAAATAGCAACGTAGCTTGTGACGGTTTTGGATTGCTGTAAAGCAAATAATTGCACGGACATCGTTAAAAATTACCGTGGAGAAGATTCGTTTGGTTCCTCCAATCTTTAGAAGATTCTCTCGAAATAGCATCGTGATTTGTTACTTTTATTTGAGTTGGTGTAAAGAGCCGTGACTCGATTGAATGGCGGATACAGTGAATTGCAACGTAATATTTTGTCGAGCAACGATTACGTACAATTCTTTTGTGTAAGTTTGAATTAATGTGAATGGATATGTAGATACATTGCTAGGGTAAAAGTGCGGATACGAAGATCGTGACGTTTGAATGAGTAAGTCGAATGAATAAATTGGTTATAACAATAGAATTATTGATAAGCAGTGAGATAATAGATCGTGGACTTGTTTATCGACTCATAAATAACTTGTAAATTCAGAAACGCGACGTAACCTTTCTCTTTTTATAATGCAAGATGTAGTCAGTGACAACTTGGCATAGCAGGCTTGTGGCGAGCAAATTTCCACGTCTCTTTTTGTCGTTTTCTACCGTTGGATCGTGTCGTTGAATTTGCCGAAACTGATCATCCGAGTGGACAATTTTTCGCGCCTTGTTAAAAATCACGAGGTTTCTGTTATATTATTCGCAGAAGCGCGAACTCGCTGAATTAGAATAGCCGCGCGCGAGTAAACAAATTCGACAAATTTAAATGTACTCGTCCGGCCATCCGCCTACAGATATTTCTACGATCGTTTACGTCAGCTACACGCGACTTTCAAATAGCTGGCTCGAGTGAAAATAAATGCCACTTGGTACACCGAAACGTTCATCGACCATCGTTGAATTATGGTGGTCGGATTAAGTTGGAAATTTACAGTTGCGTATTTGGTATCGTGTTGATTTGATAAAGCGAAGAAGAAATAGATATTGTATCTTCGTAGGAAATAATGGAAAAATTCGCATGAAAGTTCGTGAGACTTTGTGATCGAAATTAAGTTGAAAATTCAATAGCGACAAATATGCAGATTTCAGTTTGTGCAGATTTGATAAATATCGAATGTAATGGGTGCAAGATGAGTTGGAAAACGAAGAAAAAGATAGCGGTTTTAGGTTGGAAGAAAATATTGGAGACATACGTAGAATAAGGAACGTGTCATTTCCCTCATTCCTCGATGCTAAGTGTGATAACTTTACTTTTGTTTTAGAGATACGCAAATCAATACTAGGTAAGATTAGATACTAAAATGATCAGAAAATTTACTTGGTTATCGACTAAGAGAATTTATCAAATTGAAAGAAAAGAAATGTTTGTCATCCTTAATCTTATCAAGAATAATATCAAGAACAATATTAAGAATAATACGTAAGAACGAAGCGATTGAACGTCATCGAAAGAAAGCATCCATTACGCGGAATTATGTCAACGAATCGCCAAAGAGAGATCACCTTACGTATCATCCGATCAAAATCCGTTTATTTACTTCGTATCACGAAAGATTTCCTCGAATCGTGTCAATAAATCACGCTCTTCTTACGAATATCGATCCAACACCTGCGTTTCTTTATCAACGACAATGCAAAACGATTTTTGTGTTCTCTCAGTCGGATTTCGATCATCCGTCAAACTCCTAGCTTTATTACTTTAATCAACAAATTCCTAAATTTCCGATCTCCAGTCCAATAATCTACTCAGTTCCATACAGTGTTGTGCAAAGCATACGCATAGCGCTTCAACGGAATTCTCGAATCGTTAATCCCCATTGGAAGAACGAGTTTGACACACTGGAAAAATATAAACGTAAAAATTACAATAAACTCACCACTGATCATCTTGCACGAAAGTTCCAACGCACAAGCAATTTACCACCGACGATAAAGCACACACAGTCACTTACCACGTGTTCTCGATCGAAGACTTTTCGATGCATGACGCCGCGATGCACTGGCCACGGTGCGCTCATCTCTACTGGAGTACATATTAT